AAGGCAAGACTGCAATCGAGGGCTTGTCCGACAGCACGGATTTTAAGGCTGGTGTGTTCCAGAGATGTTGGGATTGCCAGACGACACTGGCTACGATCAGAATCCCCCCCCCCCAACTCCACGTTCATCGCTCACGGATCTGTTCCCCACCCCAACCTGGCACCATGAACGCTTTCGTCGCCCCGATCGCCGTCCTGCATGCCGAGTCGTTGTGCACCCCGTCCACGGCCCTCCGCCGCACCACCTTTGTCACCCCCGCTCGGACCCAATCTCGTCTCCCCACAGTCTTTCTCCCTGCGCGACGCACACCTCCCACCGCTTCCTTGGAATCTGACGTGCGGACCGCCCTGAACAAGCTCTACGACACCACGCCCTGCATGCCCATCATGGTCCGTTTGGCCTGGCACGACGCCGGCACCTACAAAGTCGCCGACGGCACAGGCGGCGCCAATGCCTCCATCCGCTACCTCCCTGAGAAGGGCCACGCCGCCAACAACGGTCTCAACATCGCCATGGATCTGCTCGAGCCCATCAAGGCCCAGTTCCCGGCCATTTCGTATGCAGATCTCTATCAGCTCGCCTCCGTCGTCGGGATAGAGCACTCTGGCGGTCCGAAAGTCCCGTTCCGCATGGGCCGCACCGACGCCGGAGAGGCCGACACCACAGAGGACGGCCGCCTCCCAGACGCGGACAAGCGCATGGGCCATCTGCGTGAAGTCTTCTATAGAATGGGCTTGAACGACACAGAGATTACCGTGCTTAGTGGCGCGCACACCCTGGGCCGCGCGCATCAGGACCGATCTGGCTTTGATGGGCCGTGGACAAAGGTACCTGTCGTCTTTGATAACTCGTACTTCGTCGAGATTCTTAAAGACGAACCGGACCCGGACCTGCTGCGTTTGTCTTCCGATCTTGCGCTTCTAGATATCCCAGAGACAAAGGCGCTTTGTGAAAAGTACGCGAACGATCAAAAAGCCTTTTTCGACGATTACATCCTAGCCCACCAGAAACTGAGTGAACTGGGATGCTTCTCTACTTCAAATATTTCCTCGTCCTAATGGTTGCGATGCTTTTAGTGTAAAGCTATGTGCAAAATGGGTTGAATCCTAATGTTTTCCGAGTTTGTGCCGGGATACAGTCTTTCTGACCTGCCACATACAACTCTCGATCCTACATAACATAAGCATACCATTGAGTCTAGAAGAAGAGACTGTTGTTCATCCGTTTGCCGTTCATAAGGCATTGCGAGCCGAGGGCGACCAGATCTCGTGAGTTTCGGGTGGATGTTCAGGAGCTATTGCATTTCTCAAACTTGGCTCTGCTGAGTGCGTCTTCCTTCAAACTCGCGCTTCGGTTTATTATTTTTTTTTTTTGAGAGTCCCTGTCGAGTCTAGATTATCGCTCAAGCCTGCGTGTTTGTGCCTTCGAATTAAAGATATGTCGGTCCTCGATGATTTGTTTGAAGCAGAGTCTATACACGACACGAAATTCGGTTTTTTGAAAGCTACTGAACGAAAGTTTCGCTCAACCCAAGGAATTGTATCGGAGATGCTGCTTAGTATAGAGTGGCTTGGAGTGGATCTTCGATTACAGTACGTGAACAGAGAGTTACAGCATTTGCTCCCTGTACACTTCATTATTTTACAATAGTCTGTAGGACTTCAAAGACCTCTTCACAGAAAATCTCAATTCCGGGATAGGATCAGAGGAATTCATTGAGACTTCCATATTAAGGAAAGATAGGTTGCGGTTGCATTAGAGCTATCATGTCTATCTGTGCGCTAAAATTATCAAAGAAACCCTTAGCTATACCCAGGGTACTGTACAGTCTTATCGCAATGCAATGGTAAGGAAGTAAGAATGCTATTTCAAACTGTCAAGGAAGAGAGCTATACAGCAAATAGACACAGCTCTGATTGATTTTCTGCGTTGACATCACCAAAGGATGGAGACTGCGGTACCTCGCCGATGACTCATCAACAAACTCCAGGAGTACCAGCAAGGTCCAACAAGGACATTGCGAGTAATTTATACCACAGGCAGCATGTTTTTTCGAAGAATTCTTTTGACAATCATTTTCCCTGTGTGACATTCACACACACCAGCACGCCGCATTCGTGTGCGGTGAATAATGTTATCTCAGAACAGCTAACGAACCCCCTCGCATCCTTCGCACAATTTCCAAGCTTTCCTTCACCCGCGTCTCGTCCTACCCATTGTGAAACTGCGGCTTCATCTTCTGCTGGATTTCACGGCCATCCGAATTAGGGCGCTGACGTCTCGAGGAAAGACCATACACTCCAAGCAGAGTTCTCTTCTGATCTTGGAATGGTTTTGGAACAATATCTGGGTCCAATACGACCCCACGTCATCCATGCTGCAGTTGCACTTGGAAACAAGATGCAAGCATACGGAATCGAACCCCCCGCCCACGCTAACCTGACAGATGCGCTAGTCATTACGGTGCTGGTCCTAACAATTACAGTTTTGGGCATTGCCCTCTCTACACTGCTCTCCCGTCGAGATCCGCGCAATGCCGTTCTCATTGTCGGCATTTCAGGAGACAGTGATGCCCCAGCTGTCGGAAAGACAGCTCTTTTCAAGTCCCTGCGCTATGGTACGCTACCAAAGCATGGCACTGTCCCATCGATGACTGTGAACGACGCCACATTCGTCCCTCACGGTTTATCCATTTCTGCTCCGCCAATGCGTTGGATCGATTTCCCGGGCCACCCGCGCCTCCGTCACAAGATGCATGCCTATCTTCAGATGGCAAAGTGTATTGTCTTTGTTGTCGACGGTCAGCGCTTCACGGCACAAGCGAGAAAGGATACCGAACTGTTGTTTACCATTTTGACTGATCCCTTCATTGCAGAGAAGGGGACGCCGCTGCTGATCTTTTGTAACAAATCTGACGTCGCAAATCCGACCAAAACGGTTACCGTTCAAACCCGACTGGAGGCCGAGCTCGAACGAGCTCGGGCTTCCAGTGTCACTACCTTGCGATCTGCTGGCGTTGCAGTCGACGGAAGCGGCAATCAAGGAGCGTTGGCTGATGAAGAGGAACGTGCTCAGCTTGGGTACGAGAACGAGCCGTTTTCGTTTGATCACGCACCAGGACCTGTCACATTCGCATCTGGTTCGGCGGTTAACAACGACGTCGAAGCAATCATAAACTTTGCGAGGAGTAGCTTCTTGTGAGATTTGTCCCAGTGAGTAGCATGAAGGAGTACAAACGAAGTGCGTCATGAAGTGTTGGCAGCTCCGTACGTCAGGTCGAGTATGCTTCTCCAAAAATGACAAAATCGCATTACGTCAAAGACGTCTGTACAGAAGCTGTGAGCGGAGAAAAACGCCCGGTACAGGTGGGTACGTGATTGTGCCGTGGTCCAAGTACGGCGGCGGTTCAGATTCCGTGCTGCCAATACTTTTCAAGATGGGCTGGCCACCCGGGATGGAGGATGAATTATGAAGCAAGAATCCTAGGCACCGAAATAGGCACTGCGCTGTTCCGGTCAAACAGCTTCACTTGCAAATGCCACCAGTACACTAAATCACAGTTTTGCAAAGACTAAATACTTGAAAACATGGTCTTCGGTCTGGATAATGGCAGAGGACTCCAGGGACCATCACAAATCGCTTTGTCTGCAGCACCTGTTTGCTTTCTATTTACATATCCGCACATGCAAACGCCTTGGCAATCGTTCAAGCATGAGTTGTACGGGACCGAGCAAAGTCTTGCTCAGGAAACAACCTATACGAAAGGAGGGAAGACACTGATATAGCCGGTTCGTTTCACACGCTGAGGGGACAGTCTAACAGGTGTGTTATAGTAGCAGTGCAGGAAGCGTCTTCGCTAGTACCATCGATAGTCTAGTGGCTCGTGGTGCGGTGTCGCTTTTCTGCTTACTGCTGTTACATGCAGTTTTGAGTTGTTATCGCAGCTATAAAGAGTGATAAGCAGGTCCTTGTCAGACGTGAGGCGTAGATCTTCAGTTGAGGCATGCGACTTCTTGTTTTGAAACTCTCGTTCCAGTCATCTGGGACACCACGGGAGTATGCTCAACGTATCCCAAAAGCAATCTTCCTTCTTGGGTTGTAGGTAGGCAATCCCAGGGGTTCATAGTTACGATGGGGGCGACATTCCAGAAGCCCGTTTTTGAAACAGTGTGTCTGGCAGGAGGTATTTTGACAGCCCGTTTTCCAAGCTTGCTTGCAGTTTTGAGTTACGCACCCAGCATGCTGTGCGAAACCATGATGATAATCGCTGTCGATCGAACGCATGGCATTGTGATTGAGCTCGTAGTGCGAAAGAGCGCGAGGACGCCGCAGCTTAAGGCGCGGCATGCGACCAGCGTTCAAATTTTGGAACAGCTCTACGTATATTTGCTCCGAAAAGACTTCATCGCAAGCACTCATGAGGAAATCCTCTTTTTCCCGTTCAGCCCATTGGAAATTTGCGGCATGTCTGCCATGTTCCGCGTGTTTTTCAATGATACTGCGGCATAGTGCACATGCATATTCCTTATCGCGGTCGTGCTCGAGATCCATTCCCTTTTTGCCCGTGTAATTATTCCTGACATAGCGCGCGGCACATCTGCAGAATTGTTCGTCTTTTTCATATCCACAGTTGCACCCATCGTTAAGCTCTTTTGCTCTGTACATGAAAAGACTTCTGCACAGAAATCCAGTTTCATCCGGGGTTAAGCGGAATGCAAGACTGTACAGCTGACCAGCGTGTTTAGTGACCATCGTTCTTTCCAGTGGCCACTGTATCATGGCGCCAATAACACTCACAGCCGTCTCTGGAGGCATGATGCGCTCCTGAATAAGATCACGGAACAAGACACGACCCATTTCACGAATTGGAGCTTTCTGCTCAGAGGGCATTAAGAACAGTACATCGCTAAAGAATTCGTGTGCATGACCCGTGAAACGCCATAGCACATGTACCCAGCTTTTGAAAGACGGGTTCCATTTCTCGTGCAAAGCTCTGAAGAACGTTGACACTCGGCCTGCAGCAGTGAGCTTCAGTAACTCGGAACGGGGGAAGGCGATAATGACGAAAACTAAAATTTCTTCCGCGCGCCAACGTCGAAAAGAAACGTATCGCTTTTCGTGCAATTCGCTCAGGACCGAGCAGCGAAACTCATCGCTATCCGGGCTTGGACCAGAACGATTCAAGGAGCGAACCCTCTCCCTCAGAAGCTCGTCCCATTCATCCAACGTATCAGTCACAACCGTGCGAAAAGCCATTGTGCTGTGGCCTGATAAAGAGGCGGGAATGCACAAACCTTTTGATGAGGTACTTTGTTCTTCCCAGATATGTCAATTGCAACGAGAGAGAATGGGACACGCAGAGTCTACGTCGAGTAGTCACAAGTTCATGTAGCCCTTCAAACCGTCAGATGCACGCTCGCATTAACGGAGAAACTGGCGGAAACGGCATGAGGCGGGCGCGATAACGCAACATCAAACAGTGCAAGAGACTCGCTAAATAGTTTTTTTTTACCCCTGCAGCGATGCGAATAAACAAGCGGGATCAATACAAGCGCTGCGCACAGTACTACTGTCGCGCCCAGTCGTGGGTGCAGTGGGTCCATCCAGAAATTGCCAGATTACCACTGAACCACTTTTTTGGCCAATCGTCGTTCAGAAAATCTGACGAACAGCCGCCACTTTTGACGAAGTGGTGCCGCTCTCGTGGGGTGGGATCACTTCGCCAAATCCCCTGAACAAATGTTTTCGCGCGAATAAAACCGTTCTGTCTATATCCTGGAACTGCAAATTCTCTTACACTTCCTTTCGTCATCGTTCCCTGTCCTACTCCCCATCAACTCAACCTTGCTCACAACTTCCCGCCCCTCTTCCCCTCTTCAATGCCTACAGCCGATCCGATGAGAAGCCCGGTTCGCAAGAAGGCATCTTTGTGCGGGGCAGTTAGCGGCGTTCACGACCTCACTCGCTTTTTATCACATCCAGAAAATGACGCCTGCTCGTAAACGCCTACTAGTAATCGTCCGCGCAAAAATCGTTAGTATCTGCGGGGTGCCCTTCTAAGACCCGTCAACCCACGAATGGCGACACCGTGGAATCAAATTTTGTTATGCGGCAATGACGACGATTTCCGGTCGTCAAGAGTTAGCCAGTTGCCAGCGGACGCGAAGGCTGGCGGCAGCATAGCATTTAAGCGGCAGTAGAACATAGTTATGAAAGGGAGACAGGCATAATCCCGGCTTCATTGCTGACCGACTCGCTTTCCTCTTTTTCGCCACAATCAACCCTGAGGCCGTTACCTCAAGAGTTACCTCCATTTTACCTGTCATCAATACCCGTCCAGTGCACGTAGACGTCCAGATTCCGATCCTTGATCTAACCATGAATAGCTAGCCCTTTTTCGACAGTATATCCCTAGTGTTAGAATGTACGGTGTACCGTACATAACTGCCGATTCATAATTTTTGAATGTCAATTATGTACGGTCTATTGTACATAAAGGCCGTTTTAGGACCATTTTTGAACGACTGTAACTTCTAGACAAGTGTAGCAATCTCATTTCTGAGTGGACAGACTTCAAGCATGGGTTCCGGAGAACCATCCACGGGTTCATTTTTTGCTGGAAGTCAATACAGACAGAATGATGTGTCTCAAAACCTCGGTCACCATTTGAAGCACCTGAAATCTCCCTTCGAGCCAAAGTAGGACCCCCAGCAAACTCTCCAACCACCGGAGTAGTCCCCATACTCTCTTGGAGAATCCTAAACCACCGGAACAACAGAGCCTGAACCCAAAACTCTCTCAGCCCGCCCTCGCCCCCGCCACCAGCTCTAACGCTGTGCAAGAGCAACTTGCGATTCCTTCCATCCCCCTTGATCAACTTATACAGCCCGCAACCACTTTTGAGGAAAACGCAAGACTTTCTGCAGCGCTAGATACCCCTCTGGCCGTAACTGTAGCATAAACACCCCCAGACGACTGGAGGTGTATGCGCAGTTCGACCTGTAGACCCCGTTCGAACGGGAAGACAGGTGAAGCACCAGCTAACGAGGCAGGGAAGCGGGCCCTGGTAGCGGTGAGGTATAGCGGGAAGGTCGGGGACGAGCGTACGCGCGGGCCGATCGACGCCTCGACGCCCTGCAGCAGCGCTGGGTAACGTACCAGCGCTGACGGGCGGAGGCGGATCTAGGCCCGTTCGCGCACGCGTATGTCCCCTACCCGCTCCCTTTCTCCTCACGCGCGCGAAGGCGAAGGCCCGTAGTTAGAATAAGCTGGGTGGACTGACCTTGGCGGTCGGTTGAGGACCAGTCCGTGCTTGTCGCCCCGTCCGCCGTCGGTCCGCTCCTGTATTTAATGTTACAAAACCGTCTATCATAACGTAATACAGTACGTACTGTACTCGACGGCGCTACAGTAGTGCGCACTGTCAGCCGGTGGGCTGCTGGTACACGCGTCATACACGTGTATTACACGTGGGGTACACGTGCGCACTGGTGGTCTGTAAGGCTCGTGCCTTACAGCGCTGGATCCAATCTCTATCTAACTACTTCGTCGTTATACTACAGTAACGACGCCTGGGAGTGCTGTTCAAGCCCGCTCTACACGAGGAAGACGGTCTGGAAGAGGACGCGCGCTGGCAAGGAGCAGAACTGGTGGACGTGCGGCCGGAAGTGGCAGAGGGGGACGAGCAAGAAGAGACGGTGCTGCGCATGCGGCAGGGTGGAGGATTCAATCTGTCACCGAACAGCCGGTTAAGCTCGAAAACGACTTTACAAATTCCGTTCTATCAGAACGCGCACGCCTATTCTCCCGCGCTGCTCTTGAGCGCATGAAAACGGAATTGAGAGTTCGGCAGCTACATCACGCCCGGTCGAGCTACGTTGTTTTGTTTTGCGATGAGTTGGTTCGCAAGTGCAGCCTGTGGAGAAACGAAAGACTTGTCATGACCAACTCAAGCCTTGGAACTGTAGACCGCGCAGACATGTATGCATTCCTCGCTGTTTTTCTTCTCGCAGTGCTCCGGATTCAGCGTTGCAAAGACCAGTGAGTTGCTCCAGAAGCTAGACTGCCCTGTACTACCATTATCCCTAGTGCGTCATCTGTCCGCAAATATTTTAGCGTTCTCCACGACAGGACGTGGATGTAGTGGTGAGAGTGTCTGGTGCTCTCAAAGGGATCAGACAGTGCGGCTTTCTGAGTTTGAAATGGCAGCATACGGTTTGTCTTGTAAGGTTTTTTATCACCTTCTTATACTTTTGCTACCCTCGACGACGACCTGTACGGGATGTGGTATAACTACCTTCGCCCCGACCACTCGGAAACGACGGGGGTTAGAGGTAAGCGAGCGCGCGCCGCTGGGTAACCCACGCACGAACGCAGACCGTACGGATGGACTCGAAAAGAGGGAAGGCTCACGTGGCCGGTGACGCGCAGCTGGTCGGTAGTGTTAGATCCGGACGGCCGGTCACGGGTTAGAAGCCTGAGACTAAAAGGGAAACCCGAACGGGATAGCAATTAGCCGTAAAGGGAGGGGAGGCGAGTCTGCCCCCCGTTTACTGGAACGGGGCAGGTGCCCCCGGTCTTAACCCCTAAGTGGGACGCCAGGATACCTGTCCCGTCGCAGTAGCTGTTACTTACTGTATACCAGCTACTGTGCTAAATTGGCTACTTTGTGCCATTAACTACTAATTACTAGTTAGCCACCGTACGGATTATACACGTGTGCCCGTGGCCACGATCCCGGCTAACGGTTGTGCCACGTGTTACCTGTGGCCACGCCCGCTGTTACCGGCTGTCCCACGTCGGACCCTTGGGGTACTACCGTGCACGGCGGCGGGCGCGTGTACGCCTGCTCGCTACAGTAGCACCCGCCCTCCCGCGCGGTTATCATCTCGCCGGGGGGTTGTGGTACGGAATTGTACTACAGACCCCCTTCCTTACTTCGCGACACGTCCCCGTCGCGGCCGAAGTCTGCAATGACCGGCTTGCAGGGGGCGCCCACCGTACGGAAAAGTCCGCGCCGACCGCGGGAACGCGGTCGGACTGCGGTCGAGTCCATAGGGGAGCCTATGGAGTTTTTGGTATTTAACCGTGGCGGTTCTTCCGGTGCGGTGGCGGGTCTCCTCACGCTTCCCTTGTCCCCCACTACGAACCCCCCAACTCACCCCACAGCACACCCCACGACTCACTCCACAACCACCACTATCCACGCCCTTCCTCGCGATTCTTCCCTTCTCTTTCTTCCTACCAACCCCATGGCGAATCACCGCACGGAACGGGGACAACTCCCACGCGAGCAGCCTCCATCGGCGGCACACGTTCCGGCGCTTTCGTTTCATCCGGCGCAGTCTTTGCGCGCCGGGGACCAGCCCGCTACGGGTTCCTCTGACCGTCCGGCGCGGCTCGCGGGTACCGGGGGCCTCCAGCCTCGGGGCCCTTCTCCCGACGAGCGCAGGCCCTTGCCGCGCCCCGTAAGATCAGCCCCGGCTCCCCAGGTCGGAGAGTTGACCGTACTGAGGCGGTCGCCCGATTAGGTCGCAGCTGCGGGACGCCCCGCAACCGAAGGGGAAACTCAGCCGGCGCAGCCTGATCCGTACGCGGTGACGCCCCCGGCGGCGGCTGTAGCATAAACACCCCTAAACGGATAGGGGTGTATGCTTAGTCCTGGAAGACCCGTACGTACCAGAAGACGGGGGAAGTCGGACCAGCTAACGAAACCGGAGCACGGGCCCGGGCAGCGTGGTAGAGCGGGATCGGGGGGAGGACGCGCACACGCGCGGGCCGATCTACGCCTCGACGCCCCGGAGCAGCGCTAGGTTACGTTTCAGCGCTGACGGGCGGAGGTGGATCTAGGCTCGCTCGCGTGCTCGCGCGTCCTCTACCCGCGCTCGGTCTCGCCTTAAGGTAGCTAACGAAAGCTTCCTTAGGATAAGCTGGAAGTCAGACCTAGGCGGTAGGTCGTGGACAAGTCCGTGCTTGTCCCCCTTCGCCGCCGCCCGTCCGCTCCGTCATTTAATGTACAATTAGTCTATCGTAACTTAGTACAGTACGTACTGTACTATGCGGCACTACTGTAGTCGGCCCTGTCAGCCGAAAGGGCTGACTGTATACGTGTCGTACACGTATAGTACACGTGGGGGCGCGTGCCCCCGTACACGTGTGGTATCGGCTGTCTGTAAGGTTCGTGCCTTACAGAGCCGGATCCAATTTCTAATCTAATTCTTTTGTAGTTATACTACAGCGGCGACGCCGCCGACAGG